CAAGAGCAGCAACTTGTATGAACAGAGCATTAATCCTCTTCTTCTGCTGTGCAGAATCCGGGCAGTGACCCCTTGATACGTTTGCATGGGAGGGAAGGGAGGAGGGAGGAGGGGGGAGACTTTGGGGAGAATCATTCAAAGGGTGTGTGTGTGTGTGTGTGTGTGTGTGTGTGTGTGATGGCCAACGCTGTCTTATGCTACAGTGGTTTCAGGCAGCGAGGGAGGCCTCCAGGCAGCCAAAAGATAATTTTCAGAGAGTGAGAGAGATGGAAAGAAGGATTTCCGGTCTCCACATTCAGAATCGGGAGGAGGAGCGCATGGCGGATATTTCTATTTCTTCTCAGGGAACCCTATCTGTGCCGTAAGCGACCAAATTTTATGTCTCACAAGCTTAAAAGATTTTTTATTGTAATCATTTCTAGGATACTATGAATTATTATAAACACTTTTACAAGTGAGCCCTGTGGAGTTTTGCTCCTGGTCCAAATAGCAGAACATTTTTTTTTTTAGTTGTGGTAAAAAGTAGCTTTTGAAAATCAGACTTTATTACATTAAATGGAAAACGAGCTGCCTTCACAGCCATCTCCCTTCCCTTAGAAAGGGAACCCCGCACCTCCTCACACAATCCGCACCACAGCGAGCAGAGAGGTTCTCCCGATCTTTTCTCCCACTTTTAACCACCCAAACAGCAACAACAAATTGCCATCCGGGATACGAGAGTGGAGACTCAGGACTCCGGTGGCCTTTCAATGCAGCTAGAATGCAAAAATATTTACTTCCTTGTTCAAATTGAAATGCCAAAGATAAACTCCAATTAGCACTAGGTCGCCAGTCTTAATCGGCTTCTTCAGATATATTTTCCCATCTCCAAATTCAGTGTACCAAAGACGAGACACATCAGCTGGTTACTATTGGGAGGATCGTAAGATGTTTTGCTAGTATGGTTTAGTTTTGTGCATCCCCCCCCCTCAAAATAAAAGATGCAATGAGCTTTCAGTAGCTTTAATTGGGGCTATCAAGGCAGCTCCAGATTGCCCCAGCAATGACTTAAATCGGAGCTTCTTCAACGTGCAACTTGTAAGATCACCGCACTTCATCTCCCAGAATTCCTTAGCCAACATGACTGGCTGGAGAATTCTGGAAGTTGAAGTCCAAAGAGATTACAGTTGACAAGGTGGAGAAGCAATAACTTAAATAATGGGACGTTGGGAGGGGGCGTATCATTGTGGACTGCTGGGGGGTTCAATTATATCTAACACTGCAGGCACACGCGCATCACATACACACTCACAACCTTCTAGTCCTACGCATTCCACGCACAATGACCTGCTTCCGGATATAATAATAAGAGTATTCCGCATATTATGCTATGTTCCTAAATCCCTTTGGCAAAGCTAAACGCTGTTCAACTGAGAGTAGTCCCACCTTCCTTTGGATCGTGGAGGATTCTATTAGTAACAGGAACTTGCTGGGCAGGTGTGACCTTTGGAGGCTATGCTACATATTGGGAGTGCTAATTAATACTTCCTATTCTTAATATACGCTTTTACTAAGGAGAAAATGAATCTAACTTTCAAAAACCATCGAGGGACCCACACAAGAGTTAGGGTTCAAATTCCAGATGCCCCAAAGGTATCTCAGTAACCCTATTTTTTAAAAGGCATGGAAACTGCAGGAGGCCAGAGGCCTCTGCAGACCCTTAGAGGAAGTGAAAAACCGGCTGATTGCTGGATGGCAGAAATCACGCGGATTCCACCGGGAGCGTCCCGCCGCGCGTGATGCTTACGAGGGGTTCCTGCTGATGCCCCTCGGCTGCGCTCAGGCAGCAGTTCAGAAATCCCTCCGTCAGAAACCAGTTAGCCTTCCTGCCCTGCTGTGGCTTAGCAGAGAGAGAAAAAGGAGGCGTGAGAGAGAGAGGGAGGGGGGAAAGAGGGGCTCAGGTGAGGCCCCATCTTGAGGCACCCTGGCAAGGACCCCCTAAGAGAAAGGCGGCTCTCTCGGCCTGGAGGAAGATCAGATCCGGCTTTGACGCCTGGATCGTTTTCAGGGCAAGCAGTGATTCGTGCTATCGTTCTACGGAGGGTCCAGTTGGCAGGCCCACAGGTTTTCCCAAAATAATGTGAAAAATACTTTTCATTGTGAAAAGAAAAATGTATTAACTACTTCATGCAACTTTTTTTGTAAATATATATTTTTGCAAAGTATGTAAGCACTTGTTAATTTTCTTAATAAAGTTTGTATTCAGTTTCCCGTGTTCTCTTGAAGTCGTTTGTGTCTCTGTGTCAGATCTCTACAGACAAACCTTTCTTCAAAGGACAACGTTACGGTTTTTGCTAAAAGACGGTGTATTTTTCACCACTATTCCTTTTCAAGGGCATTTTTAAGGACCACAATTTCCCTGAGTTGCACTGATGTTGTAGATGTAGACCAGGTTTTTCCCAACTTAGCCACTTTAGGATATGTGAGCTTCATCTCCCACAGTTGATGGAAGCCGAGGGGAGATGAGAAATTCTGGGAGCTGAAATTTCCCAAGTTTGAAAAAAAATAACCTTGGTCTCCATCATGTCTGCAGAACTTGTTTAGTCCCCATCCTGAAGCTGTCAAAACTCCTGCTGCTCTCAGAGTGGGCTCTTCTTCCACACTGAGGATGGCGTACGTTGTGCTGCTATTTGTACAGTTTTAATGTGATGCTCTGAGGCCCATAATTGGTGGGTCACTTAACCAAAACTCCAGTTCTTGTTGTTTTTTTTTGTATAAAAGTTTTCTATTTTTAGACAGACAAAGACAAACAAGACATAAAACATAAAACCATCATCAATTACATCTAGCATGTCGTTTGGTTACAAGCATTTGTGCATCACCGCTTTCAATGATATATGAAGTCACAGATGGTCCATCAGGTATTCATAGGTACATTATTATCATTATAGATCATACGTTCAGCTCCAATTGTTACTCCTTCATTTTAAACAAATATTCTAGAGATTACATACATACATACATACATACATACATACATACATACATACATACATACATACATACATACATACATATATTTAGTGTCACAACCCCTGGTATGCCCTTTATTTATCAGCACAAATACAATACACACACACACACACACACACATATATATTCCATTGCATCATTATAAAGCTAATAATAATATGTCTTTATGATATCACCTATCTTGTTCTATTATTCTTACAATGTGAAAGACTTCTCCAAAATTTTTCATTTCCATGTTTTTTTATCTAACCATTGATAAAATAAACCCCATGTCTTATAAAATTGTTTATCTTCTTGTTCTCTAATTTCAAATGTCAATTTACTCATTTCAGCACATTCCATTATTTTTCGAATAACTTCCTCCTGTGTTGGTATTTTCTCATTTTCCTAATTTTTTTTGCAAATACAATTCTAGCTGCCGTTAAAACATTCACAATCAAATATTTCAGATCTTTATTATATGTTTCGGGTATGATTCCCAATTAAAAAAAATCTCTGGTTTAAGGTCTATGTGTTTTTGTATCATTTTCTCCAACCACGTGTGGATTTTAGTCCAGTACCTTTTAGTTTCTACGTAAGTCCACCACATATGGTAATATGAACCCAGTGTCTGATGACATTTCCAACACTTTTCCAACTTGTTCTTGAACATTCTTGCTATTCACGTTGGGGGTAGGTGCCAACTGTAAAACATCTTATACAAGTTTTCCTTGTATGCTGTTAACATTGTCATTTTATAATTTTGAGACTACAATTTCTTCCATTTCTCTAGTTCAATCCCATGATCAAAAAAT